TTGGTCCAGTAGCATGATGGAGCTGTTTTGTTTTTCTTTCTTTCTTTCTGCACATGAGGATACACACGTGATATGCATAAGTATGACAACAAAAACAGAGAGGAAAGGAGAGAGCTTACAGTTAAATATAGATGTTGGATTGAAAATGTGCAACTTAGCAAATATTTTATGAGGAAGGAATTGATGCGGCCTTAACAACACATTAACATTAAGTGAAAATATAATAAAAGATAAAGCCAAGTGAACTTCAGCCTTTGCCTTTTGGCAGCAGTCTAATTCAGTGAACTGACATGCATTATTTACAGGTGTGGTAGTGAAAGTAACGGTTCTCATTTTGTATCCTGCAGATGCAGCGTCTCTGTATATGCTCGGTGGTGGAGATGTACAGCTGTTTGAGGTCAAAGCGTTTGATGAAGATTTCCACTCCTGGTTTGTGGGCCAGACTGTACAGAGAGGTTGGTCTCACTCCTTATTGTTGTTTCCATTAAAATAATTATTTATGTGTGTTTTGAAGTGTCACATTAGAAAATATTAATTAATTAATTTTGCCTTTATTACATCATCTTTTACATCACCTTGTTCTGGTTTTCCGACTGGAGAACTGGCGCCACCTACTGTTTATCTCAAGAACCTACTCTTGATCATCGCAAAACAGTAGTAGATGGAAGCAAGCATTCATTAACATTTTCTTTGGCCGGTTTATTTTAAATTCGGTTAAAATTTGCGGTATATTTTGATGGAGACATGGCTGGTGCAAACTTCAAAACACTCCCAAGGTGGTTTACATTACCTTGAATCCCCATTAGCAGTGTTTGTGAGGCGTAAAAAAGGTTTTTTTAATTAACACTTACAAAATCATATTTAACCTGTCTAGAGGAGTGTCCATATATCATGAAAACACACACCACACACAAACAAATAATATTACGAAAGAGGACCTGCTGATACAAATTAAAACTAACCACCAGGTGTTTGACAAACTGGTTCAAGTTGTTTGTTGTTAACTTGATGATGTTAACTGTGTGCATTTAAATATTCAGTGATGCTGCACTTTTATCTTGTAATTTCAACTCCTGGCCATGTGTTAAATAATTGTTCACAGTTATCTCTTTTTTTTAACAGATGGGAGACTTCTCTTCGTAACACCAATGGATCCTCTCTATCTAATTTTACCCTATTTGATTAAATCTGGCAAAGAGGTAAGAAACAGAACTCTCTGCTGTTGTTCCAGTGATGTTTTCATGCTGATCATTGTGGTGTACTGCAGTCTTGCTCTGCGCCTTTACGGCTCTGCCAGAGCAAAGAGTTCGATTCCCTCTACAGTCTCACAAAACGTGCAGTATATTGTTACAATGTTATTCAGGGCTAAACAAGATCAGTAAATATAAATCTATACCTCCAGTCCTGGTGAGAACATGTACTGTCTGACAGTAATTGTATCTTATTAATTTAGTACACATAGAGATGAATGTTAAAAACACTTCCTGGTTAATGTGTTGGAACTATTTCTTAACCAACAATCATAGGGAGAAACATTTTAAAAGCTTTGTATTAGGGATGTCCCGATCAAGTTTTTTTGCCCCCAATCCGAGTCATTTAATACTGAGTGTCTGCCGCTACTGAGTACGGATAACAAAGCAGACTATAAAACAGCCTAACAAACCCTCAGTGTAATCTTTTTTGGTCTTGTTGTCATCTTGACTGAATTTCTTTCTCCATTTAAAAGTGTCTTGCAGTGTTTTCTGCTTTGGTGCAGCCTTTGTTTGAGTTACCTGTTGAATGTTTATTTTCATCTGCTTAGTCTGTACATCTTTTGCGTGCATTACTTTAATAAATTACTCACATAGGCTTTTTGCTGGCGGGGCATTTGTTGCAATTGCAGTGAGTGTGCGGCTCTCACCACTGCAGGCGGGACCGAGAGCCGCTGCACACAGAACTCAGGAGGAGGAGAGACAGACAGCGGAGAGAGCTGACAACGGCTACATTGTGCATGAAAGCTTTGAGAGTGTGACAGCTGATGATTTAAACGATTTCTCTTTGATTGGGACATCCCTACTCTGTATTCATATAGAGGTTGCCAGGTTGAGATTTCTTCTCGAAGCCAAAGTGTCAGGTTGCTAATGGTTTGCTTCTGCGCTGCATACATAGTGTGTCGGCTACACATGCTGTAGCTGTGGAAGAACCTTCAAGTTTTTTAGTCGTACCTGTTTTATCTTTGTCATCTGTTGCTCAGGAGAAGTTCCAGCCTGTGGATCAAGTTGTTATGGATGAGGAATTCCCAGCTTGTTCAAGGCTGCTGAGCTGCACACGTTCCCTGGCCTCTCTGCACCACATTGCCGAGGAGAAAGGTGAAGTTTACTTTTGAAGCTAATGTCACTCAACTATAAAGTTATGTTGATTGCAATGTTTACATGCTGTTTTTCATACTTCCAGAGGTGGGAAAACTCAAGTTCCACCGATACAGTCAAGAGAAGACAATGAATTGGTTGAAGAAAAAGGTGCTCCATTATCTTATATGAAAATTAAATGTCAGGAAACATGTGTTCATGTGGAACATGCACAGCTGGCTTTACACAGTGGAATTACAGACAGTTTTTACTTGTTGATGTAGGTGGAGAGGACCGTCATTGTGCTCAAGAAGAGAAATATCTCTGTTGGGGAAAGAGTCAAATCCACAACATACATCAGAGTGAAGTCAGAGTCAGACTACCATGAGGGTAAGTCACCTGAGCTTCAGGCCACTTCACTGTTTCAGACAAGTCCTGTCTTATTATTGTGGGGAATTCTAGTCTCACCTTCCAGTGAAAGGACGACATTTATAAGTCTCATTTCCATTTTCTTCTCTGTTCCTTTTTTTGCTGCAGATAGGATATGTTGACCAACAGATGGCAGTAATATTGCATAGTTTATATTTATGACTTATGATCCTCAAACAACGTTTCCCCAGCCTCAAACTATATAAAACATAAAGTATAGTTATATTGCTAATTACTGGCACTGTCATTCTCTCTTTATGATACAGAGGACTACCTGCGCTATGCCCATGGCCTGATATCAGAGTACATCAGTGAGGACCTGAGCAAAGCCCTCCTCAAACACTTGCAGTAAGTTCAGACATCTAACACTTGCAAATCAGGATCATTATTACTGCTAAAGGTATGTAAAGGATGCAGATCAAGCATATTCTACTCCACAGGTTACCAGAGCTCACAAGCCCAAAGGAGACAGAACCTCCTTCCAAGGTACGTTCGTGTCTCTTAGACAAGACTGAAGCCTGTATATCAAACTCTCTTGTCTTTCTTCATGCTGCCGAAACTGCCTTGCATGTTTTCTGTAGTCCTCCACCTCGCTCTACCGTGGTTGTGTTTGCATATTTTTGATTATGTCTTAGAGATATGATCCTCATATGTGTGTTTTTAACTCGGGTGATAAGAGTGGGACGTCATCCCAGCTCACGGTGGCGTGTGTTTCTGTGGTCTTTGTCATGAAAAGCATTTCTTACTTCCTCGTTTGGCAGAAGCGGAAACTTTCAGACAATCCGGTGGAGGCCGGAGAGGACTACACCAAATTCAACAGTGCAGACTTTGTGCGGAAAGTGAGTGTGTACAAAGCAGTCTGGCTGAGTGGACCAAACAATTATTGGAGGATTATGTGATAATGGCTTAAGTGATCATTTGTTTGCTTTCGTCCCTTTTCAGTCTTTTTTACTGCTAATTTTTCCTGAAGACCTTGATTTCTTAGTGTTGCTCTTGCTTTCTTTAAGCTTTGTCTGTAGAGTATACAAATGGGTCAAAGGGGCTTCCACATCGTGAAAATTTGTTTCTCCTCAGCTGGATAGATAGAAGTTCATGATATGTAACGCATTACCTGCTGTCTCTTTGCAAAATCGTTGAATTATGTTGATTTTTTTTATTCCCCTTATTCCAGCCGCCCAAGAAGATGACTGCTGCTCAGAAAAGTCTGGCTAAGGTGGACAAGTCTGGCATGAAGCCTATGTCATCCTTCTTCAGCCCCAAGGTCAAATCAGAGAAAAAATGATTGTTGTATAGTTTCTGGTTTTGTATGTGACATATTTGTAATAAAGAAAAGAAAACTGATTCAACATGATTTTCATTTTAAATGGTTTGAATGAAATGTTGAGATAAGACTGAGAAGGAAAAAGAATAAGTCATTTTGCATTATTCATTTTAACATTACCACATTAATGTTTGTATTTTGCATAATATCAGCATGCATTATAGCCAGTGGTATGTAAGCATGCAGATCATTCAGGGTTTATTTAATATTCAATGCTGTGAGCACCACAAAGCAATTTCTTCCAACCCTATCTGAAATCTGAAAGACAAATTCTCAACACCTGGTTAAAGAAATCCAGTAATATCAGCATTGCTGGATACTGAAAAAGTATCCAATGAAATGTGGTTGTTTTTGTAATTTTGTCTAATTTGCCCTACGATTATTTTAACTTGGCAATGATGAGCAGAGAACTTTATTTGACCTATTCGGTCAACTTTCAGCCAACTGCTATTAACTGATGGGTCAGAGTAATCTTGAAATTTTGGAAGGAAGGTAGGAATACTGCATTAAAAGTCATCAAGTATATGTTCTCATTTAAAGTGGCATCCTATATGAACTGGATATTGATTAAGATTGAGGTTTATATTAATCTGTATTGTTTTCTTCAGGGAATTAAAATAATCCCTGAAGCAAGCGATACTGGACAGGCTTTTTTTTTTTTTTTTAAAACAGGAGACATGCTGACACGTCACCTTAGGAAAAACATTTAATTAATGATGGCTGGATTCCATTAAGCTGCTTCAGTTTCAGGGTCCTGGTATTGTGCATGCTGGTTCATCCTCACACTGTCATGATTTAATGGGACACTATCAGAGCAGAGCAATTGTTCATGCTATTAGTAACATCTGTGCTCTTCCTGATATGGAAAAATATCTTGTGTGAAAAAATTAGGACCAAGAGGAATTAACTTCATGTAATCAGTGTTTTGTTGTTTTCAAACTTTACTTTATTAAAATCCCTTTAAATGTTTTATGCAAGTATGAATTGGCTGGATGGATTTTTAGCCGTGCATGGTGTCCAAACAAACTAAATTGACCTCTACGTCAGCAGTGTGGCAGTGCGGCTGGTTTCAAATGTCTATCAAGCTTCACTGCTTTTTTAATTTGGGCTTGAAGCGAAGAGTCTGGAATGCGCTCTCGACCACTTTGGGCAGATGGATCGGGTTCCTCTGCAGCCGCAGTCTGCTGCTTGTGGACCCGCTCTGGTTTTTCTTCTTCGGGACGCTTTCCTTGGCACAGTCATGAACCGCTTTCTGCTTGGAGTCACCTGCGACCCGAGGAACCCGCAAGACCCAGTTAGAGTGGAGGTCGTGTTCGGCTGAGCTGGAGGCCACTGTGGGAGAGAGGAGCACAGAGCAAGAAACTGAGTTAATGCTGAAAGCTGATAGTTTCCTGGATCTTAAGAGCAATGCTTACACACTATGTTTGACTTTCCAAATCCTTAACCTCACCTACATACCTCATCCAACCAGTTGTGGAATAAGAACAGACAGCATAAATGTCATAGCAGGAAAACCTCAGGTGTAATAATCAACACTAACAATGGCTGCATTCCATTCAGGTGTGCCAGTTCAGTTCTGTGGTGAATGCTGCCTTACTTGGACAAATTGAGCCTTCATTAACATCATTAATGGCAGCTGTGCTTTTCTTGCAAAGAACATTCAAATTGTCATTTATTTAAGTGAAAGTAGTGATGTAACAATCTACACAGAAGCTAAAATTACATTTGCATATGAAAACTGCAATTGAGAACTACAACTGATATTAGAAATAAAGTGCACAATATTCCTATTTGAAAAGTGCTTGAAACTAATAAAACATCTAAAAAGGTGATGTCTGATCATGTCAAAACTGAAGTTGTCAAGCTCATGTTCTAATAATAAGTTATATTTATAAGTGCGATAAAGGTGTAGTTCATCCCGCCCTAACAGGTGCAACAACACTGACAGGAAAGTGATCGAGATGGCAGTCAAGTGTAGTTTGTACACACGGACAGTCCTGACAGGAGTTCCAATCAGGGACGATCAGTGAAAACTTCTGAGTGGGTGTACCATAAACGAGTGAATGTTCATCTCTGACCTCAGCTATCTCAGAAGCTCCATTAGTAAAAGTAACAATAAAAGCAAATACTGTCAAAAGTAAAAGCCTTGCAGTTAAAATATTACTTAAGTAAAAGTACAGCCTAAGTATTATCTGCTAAATAGAGTACTCAATGTAGAATGTCCCTTTTCTAAGTGTTATACTTTGTATTGTCTAGGTAGATCTAATCTATTTTGGTGTTTTTATTATATTTATTTTCTATTCCAAATAAATATAGTGGACTAGAAGCGGAAGTAGTAAAGTGCAATACAATACCTCAGATTTATACAGTATTATCAAGTACAGTTTTTGAGCAAACAGTAAGTCTGTCTCCACTAAAGAGATGTTTTTCTTTTTGTTGAATGTCGGAGCTTCGCTGTGCAGGATGATGTATGTGCAGAGTTTGATACAAATGGATAGACGTGTGGAATGAAATGCGGTAGAAGGAGTAGATTTTAAAGGATTTTAATGCTATCTATCTAAAGGGGATCTTTAAGGAAATATATAAATAAAAAAGTAAAATTAGGTAAAAATTATCAGCAAAATGTACAAAAGGAAAAAAGTACTCATTATGGCATATGAACAGTCCCTGTTATGTTTAGATGTAAATATATAAATATAACATATTACATCAACATGTAAATAACATTTTAATGTCACAATGGAAATCATGCAACTATCCTACTTTGAATACTGTTGTGTTGTTGTATGTAAAGCAATAAATATTCACATAATCCTCTTATATTTTATACACAATCAACAGTGCTTGAGTAAATCTGCTTTCCACCAACTCTAACCTAAACACAACAGTTTGCAACTTAATACCTATATATATATATTTAGTAGTTTGAGGTTTACAGGTCTCCATACTATGAGACGAGGTGACAGTCTATACGACTGTATTAGCATTTGACCCCAGGTGATATTTATTTGTTTCACATTAAATCTAATCTAGTTACAGCTGAAGAGAAGGATTTTAAACTCACCTATGAAGTCCACATCTGCGTGTCCATCATCAGTGTAAGGTTTGCGCAGAGGCTCGCTGTCGCAGCTGGCGATGACCGCATCAAAGAACTGCAAAGTGTCCTCCTCGTCGGGGACTGGAGGGGCAGAGGGTTTGGCCCTTGATATCTGTGATTCAAACAAAAAGAATATATGGGAGGACATTTGTCTTTGATACCTCCTGCCACGCGCTCTGGGATACATGATGTAAACTTACCGGTTCTTCCTTTTTAGGCGGCGGGGGCGCAGGCTTCTTCTTATTGGAGACTGTGGCCTTGGTGTCGTTGCTTTTCAAGTCACTCACACTCTTTGTGTATTGCCGCCTCAAAGCCACAAGTGCCTCCAGGTACTCCAGGCAGTTCTGATTCTGAGAGTAGAGCCATATCCTGTCCTCTTGTCTCTGATAATAGTACAAGGTCGACTCGATGCTCACCGTGCTTTTGCTCCGTTTTAAAGTGGAGCCCGCGGCTGCCTGAGTCCTCTCTCCCACCACCAGCATGGAGGTGCTGCGGACCAGCCGGACGGTGCAGGCGTTGTGGTAGTCCTGCTCGGATTGAAACCCACCACCTCCACCATTATCCCGCCTTCTGTGTCCGTGATGGTTGGGACGGAACACATTATTAATCTTCCTGAACATTCCTCTAAACGCAGTCTCTCAGGGTTGTTACACACTTGTCCTTAGATTCCTTGGTTTGTGTGAAACATACATCCATATTCGTCTCTTCAGGACAGCCGATACTTCTCAAAACAAACAAACAAACAAACAAACAAACAAACAAACAAACAAACAAGAGCTCCTATAAACCTGTCTGGAGCTGTTCGCTATGACCAGTCGCTGTCCAGGGTGCTGAAATCGCCAAACTGCTCTCCTATTGGGACACAAAAGCAAAAGCAGGTCTGAGCCTCTTGTCTAACCTGATCTCATCATGTCTTTAATGTTATCGGATGTTGCTGAGCAACATTGCTGTAGCAACGGGTCGGTAACTCTACACTTTGTGCTACCATTACTACCGAGCAGCAGTCCTGTGTCAGATATCCTGACTCAGACCAGACTTAGTGGTCAAAATAACAACAGCCAGCAATCCAACAAACTCCGGGCCAGTAGTTTCACTGCCTGTGGCCGTGAATCCACCTGTTAATATGAGCCATGTGTTAGACAAGACAGAAGAGATGAAATAAGAAAGTATGAAACTTCATTTCTGGGTTTAAAAGAAAATGTGTACAGAAGCAAAATAACAAATTCAGCGGAATGAAGGACCTGGATATTGCAGCAGACTCGAGAAGTGATATTACGTTGGCTTATGTCTAGGTTTCCTCGCCTAATTAATAATAAATCATTTTCTCTCGTATTTCATGCGCATCTATTGTCGGGCTTCCCTGTCACATGCGGAGGAAGTCTGAATACAAGAGTCATATGAAACAGGCAGGGTACTTTCATCTCGGAAAAATCCCGGCCATAAATATAGCCTGAGAGTTTCCATCACTCTCACCAGATGTCTGATTTAGATTTGCCTGTGAAAGACATACGATTCATGCAGAAGTTTCTACCAGAGGAGGAGAAAAAAACACTTTCACAACTGGTGAAATAAAGTGTAATTTCAAGGTCTCATGCAAAGTTCAGCATTCACTTTAACATGCCGAAGAGAGGGCAAGGTTTCAAGGAGGAAGTGATGACTTATAGTTACATAACTGAGCGTGGAATCACACTTCTGCTTTGGTGCAGACACAGATAACAGGATGAGTGAAGCTATAAGCTGTCCTCAGAGAGCTAATTCAGAATTTGGGGTGTGACCTATCAGAAAACGAAAACAGGAATCTGTCAAGCCCTCTGTTTCCTGATATTTTTTATCATATTACATATGACTTTCTTTTCTGCTTTTCACCTCACACCCACACCTGTTTGTTTTTACAAAGAAACAAAACTCCTCTGCTTTCTTTTTGTAGCGTATTTTGCGTCCATGAGAATAACACGTGCAGTTTCACTTCATTTGGTAAGAAGACAAACTCATGCAGAGGTAGGTACATTCTTACTAATGCAAGGCTGTGAAATAGATATAACTTAGTAAGAACTGCAGGGGAAGATGCCCAGCCTGTCTGTAAAAATCATATAAAAATAAGATATATTATTTGTCAAGAAAATATTCATTAATCCAGGTGCAACATTAAGTTTGCAGAAATCGGAAGAAAGACAATATCTGACATTCCCACTTCCTCTTGGGGTGGGTATAAAACAGCCCTCATACATGCATGCACAGTCTTGAATTAAATACAGTATACACATTTGGCTGGCTGTATCGATAGAAAATTCAATATTTTTAAGAAGTACTTTTCTATAAAGACTGTCGAAGGACACTTAAAATCTGAGAGACTGTGATTGCTGTCCAAGGTAGGAAGCTCTATGGTTTATTTCTATGATTGTTAAAGTAATTGGCCCTTCTATATCCTCCTTTGGACGTTTTTGTTTGTTCAGGAATGAATACGATAATTTTAGACTGAATTGAAACCACTTTTAAGGAAGACTCATTCATGTAGTCTTTAAAGTGATTGTTTGTGTATTTGTATACAGGCTCTAAATTCTGTGGTATGTGGCATTGGTCCATGCTATAAATATGCCCCTATAACATTTAACGAATACTATAAACAATAAACACATTCATGCTAATAGTTGCATCTTTGCACATGTTGAATACTAACATGCAGTTTAAGGTTGTTGTTTTTTTAAATTTGTCATTATACAACGCAGGATTGCACAATGCAGTGCATGCTACACACACAGAACATGTAAAAAAAGATATTCAAGTATTTAATAATTAGAATAGAATATAAACAATAAAAGAGGCAATAAAATGTATGTGTGTGCTCTTTGTTGCAGCCATGCTTTGTGAAGGCAGATTGTTTAGCATGATCTATGGTGAACTGGGGAAGCTGGATCCCCTCCCTTCTCAAAAGGGTCTCCAGAGTTCTCATGGGCTGCCGAGAGCAGCTGCTACCCTCATGCCATGCTCCACCAGACACGCTCCACTCGTTCATCACAGTTCCCCCGAGCAGACAGGTTGTGCGGACAACAGGAGTGCTTCAGTGGAGCTGTACAATTCTCCGCTGCTCTCCTTGGATCTCCACAGTGCCCAGCCAGGCAGACAGATCTCTCCGGAGATAGAGATCCCAGCTCAGGCTTACTCAGGTGGTGACTCCCCTTTCTTGGTTCCCTCCTTCTGTCAGAGCATCTGCCAAAACTACAGTGACCTCCATATTGGAGGCGACCAGGTGCTGCCTCTCTCAGCCAACGACGGCGAGCTCCGGCTCTGTCCTGAGGCCCAGGCTGTCGGCCCCTTCCTCCAATCCTGCGATGTCCTCCCAGCTGTGGAGGATTCCCCCCCAGAACAAACATCTCAGGGGGGACTTCTGCATCCACTAAGGGGAGGTTCAAATCGCTGGAGGCTGGGCAGTACCCGTGATAGGAGCTTTTTGTTTCAGGGGCGTGAAGGTCCATTCTCCAACTCTCTTCTAAATCAGTATCTGGAGCAGAAACTCATGGATTTGTACCAGCAATACATGATGGAGAACATGGCCAGGGAGGGGGCTTCAGGTTCGGATTCTGACACAGGCCCCATTTGCCCTCTGCTGGGCTCAGAGCTGGTCCTGACCAGCCTAGACCAGATCACTTTGCAGCTGAGTCGGGAAGGGAACCTGGAGGCCGGCCTGGCCAAGGACATGGTTCTCAGCTGCCTGTTACGGGTGGCTGGTGACAAGCAGTCAAGTGAAATCAGTACTCCCTTTCTGCAGATTTCAAATGAAGCATCCAGGGAGCAGCTCACAGAGAATAAAGAGGAGTAACCCCAGTGTCAAGGAACTCATTCATCCAATTCTCCCTTTCTTTTAGTTTTTATTACCAATAAATAAGATGAAACTGACAACCTCATTTCATTAATTTTTACAAGCTGTTGAGTAGATGATGCTGAAAGCAAATTCTGTAGTAATTACCAGGAAAGTGTTCTGTATTTATGTATCATCATTTTGACAGGCACTTATACAACTGGTGTATGTGCATGTGGTGTGCTGTTTTAGTGTGGTGTGCGCAGGACAATAAAAACAGGAACTGAAAATTGAAACTGATCTTTCCTTTTTTTCCATTCATTTCCAACATAACAACACGTCATCAGCAACATCTTGTTCCTACTTTAACGATTAGCTGATGTAAATGTATATCTGTGGTTAAGTGCAGAAGAACATCCCTGTCAATTATTCTGAATAATTTAAAAGTTTGAAAATCATTAGCTTTGCTCCAGGTTTGTTTATTGGAATAAACTCTAGGATTAAAGTCCCCCTCCAGAATATGTATGTGAATGTACAAACATGATTTTTTTGACTGAAGCAAATAGTGGCTCACAAACACTGAGAATGAACTTTCAAGTGAAATAGGACACATCTTGTGTCCAGCAGTTTGTAATATTTTTATTTCTAACTTATGTAGGTGAAGCAAATTTCGTAAACAATATCTCTCAAAACATGTGTTTTTATGTTCAGAGTTAATAAACAGATAATAAAGAATGCCACAATTAAATCAGTTGCTTATAAATATGTAATTTTGTGCCTAAAGACATATTTCATACGTATAGATTTAATCATTTATTCACATGCTCCCCTGTTAATGATGATGGTATCATGAATTACTTGCTCCAAAATCTGCTGTTTTAATAAACAGTCACAAGGGGGAAGCATTATCACCTAACTTGTTAACCCCAATGACTTTTGTACAGGTCTTCTACTCTATTTTCCTTTATTCCTCCTCTTCACTGTCAGTCCCTCCTCCCTCACCCAACTATCTCTCCATCCACCTAATGCTTCCTATCATCTGCAACCTGCTGCTGCTGCTAATAAGGAGTCATAAGTCATAAGGACTGAGTTGTAAATCTGCAGCTCGCAGGCAGTCGAGCACTAAGTTTTTACACTGTGTTTGTGTCGCGAATCCCCGGCCGTGATGACTATTTGGGTGTGTTTGTGTTGGGCTATGGTTTGCGTGCTGGGTGCTTGTTGTGTTTTCGTGTTGTCTTGTGGTGTTTTGTGTCACTCTTCTGGCAGTGCTCGGCGGCTTTAATGTTGCTACCTTTTGCTGCCTGCCTGTTTATGCCTGCCTGAGCTGTTCTCTTACCATCTGTTTTTGTCCGCAACTAACCATGTCTCTCTGCCTCAGGAATCATTCCTGGGACTCAGCCCTGGAACCCAGTCCACTCAGCCCAAGCCTCCTGTAGAGCCAGTGTGTGGATCCCCACACTCCAAGCCTGCCAGCCAGCCACTCTCTGGATCACCCCCACCTCTGGACTCCCACTCTCGCCTGCCAGCTTCCCCTTTTTTTCAACAATTCACTCTTTGTCTAAATAAACCGTTTAAACTCAACCTCTTGTCCGATATGCTTCTGGGTTCCCCTCACAATCCTGACAGTTTGTGATACTGGTTCCTCTACTGTGCAAGCAAAATACAATTTTAAGATAAGAGGTTATCTCAATACATGATTTATTTTATTTGCTCCAGCATAAAGGAGAAACTCAGCAGGGCTGCAAACCGATAGATTTGCACACTACAAGTGACATGTTATTTTTCACGTTTCCCCCTATTCAAAGTGTTTTGAAAGACCTGCGACTCCATTCCAGCTCAGTGCAGCCGTGGCCTTCTGGGCCAGTGTTTGATCAGCTTCCTTGTTTCCTGTCCAAACAGAGAGCCACAGGAGGAAACTGTGTTTACCGAGCTGAGCGCCGCAGTCGGAGCCCTGTGAAGTCTCAAGGCCACAGAGACACATGTTTGGTATTTTTGCTTCTATCCGGATTGAACATTCCAGGTACATGTTAAAGGAACCCAATCCTTACAGACCTAAACAAAAACACGCTCACATATAAATATGATTCACCCAATGCCAAGCCCAGCAGCGTGAGCATATTCAAACAAACTGATTTCCACAGACCTTGAAAAAATGAAAAACAGACTTCTTGTTCCAACAGAGGTTGAGAATTGTCTGAAGGTAAAGCTACATACTGCAGTCTCTCACACACACAGGTTGTGAATATTTACTCACAAGATCCTCCACTTCACCAAATTACACAAATTACTAACCTATGATTGACAAAGATCCCACTGTGTTTTAGTTTTTTGGGTGCAACTACAGTAATAATATTAATAAAAGTTTTTTTCATTTTCTGTAATTAGTAGTAGTTTTTCCTCTCTAAGAAAAAGTGAGAATAAGGCCAAAGAATTAAGGAGAAGTCATGAAATAAGAGCAGGGAAAGAAACTGATTAAACGAATGGCAAGCTGCAGTGATTTCAAAAACCCTCCACACTTCTCTCATAGTCTAGCGATGAAACTAACAGGGAGGTTGAAGTGTTGGAGCATCTTTCAGAGGTTCATAAAGTAATTTCCTTGTCACAAAGAGCTTTTACCATGGAGGGCGGTAAAGGCAAGGCCACAAGATTTTATATCAAAGCCAAGGTCCCAGATACACTCTCACTATTGTTGGTTTAATGCTCTGTAGCACTCTGTGGCTTGCCGTTATTTAAAAAGCTTTTAGTATGTGGCCTTGTTAATCGGAACAGTCATATACTGTTTACTTATATTTCTTCTTCCTTTGTGACTGTGTGATTTAAGAACCTCTATCACAATTTTTCAAGGCCTATTGATATTCAAGATCCTTTGAAGTTCTTTATCGGATTAGACATGGATACACACACACATGCAATTTTTTTTTTAAATGATTTCTTATTATTTTAACCCATGAATCAGTTTAGGTCAGGCAGGAAAATAATGCTCACTCTCACACACTGGTGGCAACATTTCAGACTACAGCTGGTGTGTCAAAGTACTTAATTCAATTATCATTTGTCCAGAAGCTGAACTCCTCCTAATTTCTTGGGTGGCCTTGAGTGAATGATTTTTCATTTTTTTTTCAGATTACACCTACTGGAGTGACCTAATGTCCAAGTGGCAACATGCTGGAACATTTAATGACAATCCTGCTCCGTATCTGGCTGATTGACACCAGGATATGTAGGTGGTGGAACAGGAGAACACACATTTCCCGGTCAGTTAGCCGCTCAAGGTTGCAGGGAGCCTGCAGCGGCGTGGGTGACCTTGGCTAAGCTAGAGCAGACAGAGAGAGACCTTGAGAGACAGCGGGGCAGCAGGATCTGGTGCTCAAAGAGCTGGGGAACATAATGTGGTAATGCATGACTATATATCACAGCACACAGTACCCATGTGACTGTGGATGGCAACTGGCTGGAAATGAGTGGATTTTTATCCACTCACATGTTCTTCTTTACTAGATATGTTTATACTGGTACTGGTGGTTTTAACACTATGTTGATTTTTGGATCACTGACATTTTTGGCTCTATATGCTTCTGCAAAGTGGGCAAAGCATGAGTGGGAAATTTCCCCAAATGTATACCAATACTTTGTTCTCATGACAAATGTATTATATCTGTGGGTTTTTCACACACGCAAACGTTTTGACCCCATTTTTTAAAGTTTGTGACATACTTGTTCTTTTATCCCTTGCTATTGTCTCTGGTTTTTATCTGTCTTAGTCCTCTTTACATGCTATCATAATAATAAATCATAATAATGTATAATACATTATCTTACACTATTCATATTCTTATTATGAATCACATGAACCTTTTACTGTGTATTGCGTACCAGCACTTTTAATGTTACAGTTGTCTTACCTTGTTTTTTGTGTTTATTTTTTTGTGCTGCTTTGTTTTTTGTTCAGAAGTTTTGAGCACTTGTTTTAAGTATTTACACACTGTAAAACTTAAAAACTGTGGAAAATTCAAAACTATTTTAGTTCACTACACTGCCACGAAAAGCTCAAGGTTAATGTGCTTGAATAAAATGGGAAAATTGTACAGGATTTTACCTTTGGTGCAAATGTTGAGACTTTTCAATAAAAAAAATATGTTGTGTTTGTGCACCATAATGCAAGTTTGAAATAACTTGTAACTCAGGTGTAAGTGAAGTTCACCATGTGGTCATTGAAAAACTGTATGAAAAGAGGCTTATAGGGCCAAATAGCAAAGAGATGTTAGTGTTTAAAATCCAAAGGTCTCAGTAAAAGTTAATCTTCGATTACTTTATACAAAAGGTAACTTAACTAACTAAGAGATGCAGATTGACATTTGACATGTAGTGGAATAGAAGTGCTGTATAAACGTGCATAAATATAATTGTCTGGAAAAGATTTCTGAGGTTGGCAGAAGATGATGAGTAATTTCACAGTTCTGAAAAAAGAAGAAAGTTTGATACTGTCAGGCTGGCATACTAAATGATAAAAAACATTGCATTTTCAAGGCCTTGATCTTTAATCACAGAAAGTATCACAGAAGCACA